TGTGCCGCGGTCTCTACCTGAGGGCGGAAGCTGTGCCTGTGTCTCAGACACCTTGCACCCTTGCCTACAGCTTACAGTCCAGCCTCGTAGCAGAGCCTCCGGCCAATGAGAGCATCCTAGTCTCCCAGTGCAGGTGGCGCTGCAAACACATCGGGTGCCTTCTCCCCAGCTAACAGTCAAGATAAAAAAGGGCCAGTTTGCACACTGTCCCAGGGACAGTGCTGTGACTAAGAACTAGGGTGATAGTGCATGCCTGAAATCTCAGTGGGTCAGTGGGCAGAAGCACAACTCACACTTGGAAGATGGAAGCACTGTCTCAAAAACAAGAAAAGGGGGGAAAGTAAATAAAACCAAAGAAAAACAGACTTGTCCTTGAGGCTCTCCTGTGCCTCGGCCTGCAGCTGGGATTTATGGCTCAGGTAATTCTTCCTTGCTTTATCTGGGGTGTGGGGGTGTGTGGACGTGTGGGGGGCGAGTGTATTTTCCTAGTCATAAAACCCTCAGTCCCGGCGAATAAATTTGAGGAGACAGTTTTACTGACAGATTTTTTTTCTCTGTTGTGTAATAAAAAAAAAAATGGAGTGAAATTTGAGATTGGGGCGATGAGGGCTGCGAATTTTAGAAGGAGATAAAAAGCTTTACCTGAAGGCATACAAAGTTGGAGCCAGAGGGCTGCTGGAGAACTCACCGCCCGCCCTTCTCATGCTGCAGATGCCAAGCAAGGGGAAGTCAAGGGGCAGTTAGGCAGCCTTGCCAGCCTGGCAGGATAGGCAGGGAGTAATGGGCCCCAGTGGAGGGCGTCAGTTGTGTCCTCAGTTGCAAAGTGACTTGTTATCATCCATTGTGCTATCTTCCCAGGGCGCATGGGAGAGAGGCACACAGATGAGAGGTTTCCCAGCCTTTTTGTGTGTGTGTGTGTGTGTGTGTGTGTGTGTGTGTGTGTGTGTGTGTGTAAGTATGCATGTTCCTGTGTGTACATGTATACATGTACTTAGACGTTCATGGTATGTGAAGGTACACAAGTGTACATTTATGTATGTATGTTTATGTGTATGTGCAGGTGTGTGTACATGTATAAGGCACATTTGTATGCATACATGTTCATGTGTGTAGGTGCATGTGTGCACACATTCGAATGCACTAAAGGCTAACGTTTCGTCATTCTTCAAGTGCCCTGCATCATGGGTTTTAAGCTGGCCCTCACTGATTAGGATAGACTCAATGACCAGAGAGACCCTAGGAGCCTCCTGTCTCTACCTCTCCTGTGCTTGGATTACAAACAGGGGTCACCATGCTCAGCTTTTTTACTATGTGCTGGGGATTAAGCTACCTCCTCATGACAATCTCAGTGTAGCAACAGTGTATTTGTTGAAGAATGTTTGAGGTGTGTCCTCTTCATCAAAAGGGTCAGAAGTCTCCCTGGCCTGTCAGTTACATGCCGGGACCCTCACGGTGACAACCAAGCATATCTCCAGAATATGCCATGTTCCCTGGCAAAGAAGGGGCCAGAATTGTCTCCCAGGGACTGGAAAGGTAGCTCAGCAATTAAAATAACTTGCTACTCTTGCAGAGGACCTGGATTCTGTCTCCAGCACCCCCACGGCCACTCACAACCATCTGTAACTCAAGTTCCAATGGATACAGTGCCCTCTTCTGGCCTCCATGGGCACTACATGACATGACTCAAACATACTGACAGAAACACTCATACTCATAAAATAATAAAATAAATAGAATTGTCTCCCAGTTGAAGGTCCCAGTTGAAAAGTACCTTGACGTCTCTAAGGGGTTAAGGCATCCTTGAAGGGTTGGAAAGAAGGGAGTGGTGGACCCACTCCAGGCAGGGATATGCTTGTAAGTTTGTTCTGACTTAGAAAGCAGTCGAGCCACTCAGCCCCACCCACCCCAGACCCTGCTCCAGTCTGGCTCAGTCCACTGTGGGGAATGCACTGGTTAAGACATCAGCCTCAGCCTGGAGAGATGGCTCAGAGATTAAGAGCACCGACTGTTCTACCAGAGGTCCTGAGTTCGATTCCCAGCAACCACATGGTGGCTCACAACCGTCCGTTATGAGATCTGGTGCCCTCTTCTGGTGTGCAGATATACATGGAAGCAGAACGTTGTATACATAAAAAATAAAATCTTAAAAAAAAAAAAAGACATCAGCCTCAGAAGCAGGCCGAGGGTGTCCCCAAAGAGTGTCCTTCCCAGGCAAATGCCAGCATGGAGCCAGCCACATGCCGGCGAGATGCCACCCTTCTCATTCACCGCAGCTCTTCTCCTCCACATTGCCATCTTACTCTGGAATCTGGTGGCAGGTGAGGCGAGGAGTCAGGCAGGTGAGGCGAGGAGTCATATCTCTCTGTCCTCAAGCTACACAGATGAGAACAAAAGAGCTGGCTTCAGAGGGAAATGGGCCAAGTAATGAGCTAGGGAAGTCTGGAATGGTGATGAGAGGCAGATGGGCCTGGTGAGGGCTGGGAGGAAAACCAGTCAGGGAAAGTCCTACTGCTGATCCCACTCAGAGTCACAAAACCCATGAATGTGTTAGCCTCCTTCCACCTACTACTGGTACTCACTGGGGTGTCCTTGTTCTTGGCCTCTCCTAGTCTATGGGACAGGTAACAGATGTGGCCAATGCATGACACTCAGTCGGTGCCTGATAGATGCTGGCTGGGTTGTATCAAACGTGTGTGTTTACTAAAACACCAAGATGTAGTCAAAGGCAGTCTGGGTGCGGATGAGGACAGTCCTCCTAGTTGAGGGGGACAGATGACTGGGGAAGCCACTCTCAGCATCTCCCCATCCCTGACCACCGCCCTGGCAGCTCCCTGCCCCTGCTTTCACTGGAGGAGCCACAGGGAGTTAATTCCACTTCTCCAGGCCCAGGCATGAGGCCGCCCTGTCGCAGGCTGTTAGTGTGGAGCCCAGCTGAGCGGCGAGAGGCTGCAAGCTCTAGGTCTATAATAGAGTTGCTGAGACAAGCGGAAAACTGCAGCCGAGTAAACAGATAAATAATTGAAACAGTGACAACACATACCTTGCTGCTTTGTGGGGTAGTAACACTTTCATTAGGGAGGTGGTGGAGACCAGGCGTGTGCTTCGGGCGGCTGCTGCTGGGGAGCCCCTGACACTTGGGCCTGGCTCTTCATCAGCTGGGAACAGCAGGCCCCTACAGCAACCTGTGCCCTGGCACTGACTTGACTGTCACCTCCTGGGGTCCCCTGCTTCCCCAGCTTCTATGCACTCAGGTGGCCTTCTCCTAGAGACTGTCTGAAGGGTGGCTACAGGAAAACAAAAGCAAGTGTCCCATGCTGACAAACACCTTCTGTCCATCCCTGGGTCGCTGCCTCTGGTCCTGCCTCCCCCTTGGACTTGCTTCTGGAAGACCAGGGAAGGTTATGAGCAGAGCCCACATCTGAACCTAGGTGACTGGTGCCTGCAGCAGGGTGGGGCATTGCTTTGTCCATGGGTCCTCAGCGGTGGCATTATGTTGTCAGGATCCTCTGGGTCCCCTCTCTCTTGCTCCAGGCACTCTGAACAGTCAGTTACACAGAGGCAGCTCAGCTGATCCCTCCTGCATCTGGCCTTGGCTCCTACCACCTGCTCTGCCAGGCTGACTCTTGGGCCTCCTGCAGAAGCAGCTTCAACTTCGCATCCTCCAAGACACCCTTGTGGGCACTCCCCGCCCCCTCAGAAAGTGGCCTTCCCCCTCCTCTGGATTTCCATGCCATTCTGGGCCTACCCTGTCAGGATTTATCAGAAATGGGTGATCCTCTTGGGCTGGTAAAATTGCTTATTGTTCAAGCCTGGCGATGGAGTCTGATCCTTGGAACACACATAGCAGAGGAGAGAAGTGACTCTCCAATTATCCTCTGACCTCCACAGTCACCCCCCGCCACACACACACAGCATGTGTACATACACAATGATAAGTACTAAAAAGCAGAAATAGTGGCAATATAGCTATAGCTTATTTGTCTTTCCATGAGTTATTTGCATGTAGATGGTCCCCTGGCCTTCCATTGTTCCCCCTCTTACTAGTTAGCCTGCCCCCTCCCCTTCCTTCTCTCTAGGCTCTGGAACCAGGCCCTGATTCCCTACCTAGCTCACTCTACAAAGCCCATTCTGGTCCTGCCCCAGTTGCCCAGGCCACACTAGTCACTTCCACAAAGCAGAGCCTTCCTCGAGGTAGGGTCTCCTGGAGCCTGGAAAGACCCCAGGTGGGGGAAGCTGCAAGCTCTGTCCCACCATGCCTTCAGGGCCTCAGAAGGCACCCCAGTGTTTGCAGAATTGAAAGTCCAGCAGCTCCCTTCTCAGAAGCCAATGCTCTGGCTGGCACTGGTGGGACGGGGCCAGGTTTACTCACAGGCTGGCTGTTGCCTGGAGCTCCACGGGGCTTGGCAAGAGGGAGGAGGAACCTGGCAGGAAAGCTCTGTGTGGGGTGCTCTCTTTGTCATCAACACACATGTCTTCTGTCTGCTTCTCCTCTAGGACATGGTAATGAGCTTGGCCTCCTGGAGCCAGAGGCTGCCATCCTTTTTTATTAATTAATTTATTTGACTTAATTACTTATTTGTGCATGTGCAGGTGTGCATACGTACATGTCACAGTGCATGTGGAGGTCAGAGGTCGGTTCTCTCCCTAGCATGTCAGACCCAGGAATCAAATTCAGCTCGTCAGGCTTTGGCTACAAGCTCCTTCATCTCACAGGCCCTGTGGCTCTTTAATTCCTAAGCCATTGGTGTCCAGGGGTGCTTGGATTCACAGACCAGGGACGTCTTGTGAAGGCTATCAGCCAGGTAGCCTCCATGGATAATGGAGGGGCAGGGCTGGGTGGGGCAGGGCGAGGCGGGGCGGGGCTGTGTATCTGGGTGGGAATCTTAATCAGAAGCTGAGAGGGAGGAGCAAGGGCAGGGACAGGCCAAGGGGACTCCTGAGGAAAGCGGGCGGTCAGGGCTGCCTGGGCACTCACCTGTGACTCCTCTGCTCTGTGGCAGGTGACAGATGGTGGCACCATCTCACAGAAGATCTTCACCTTTGACGCCATGTTCTCCACCAACTACTCCCACATGGAGAATTACCGGAAGAGGGAGGATCTTGTGTACCAGTCCACTGTGAGGTGAGGCCACCGGAGCTGGCAAGCATGGGAGCCGGGAGAGGGAGGGGCGGGGCCTGGGGGTGTGCTTGTCCAGCCCTGTCACCAGCCCCTAGATGCTCTTGGGCAGTGATTCTCAACCATGGGTCATGACCTCCTCCGAAGGGGTTGCATATCAGATATCCTGCATAGCAGATGTTTACACTGAGATTCATGACAGTAGCAGAATCACAGTTATGAAGTAGCAATGAAAATAATTTTATGGGGGGTCACCAAAACATGAGGAACTGTATTAAGGGGTCCCAGCATTAGGAAGATTGAGAGCCACTCCTCTTAGGGGCTGCACCCCCTCCATGAGCTGGGGGCTCTCTGCAGAGTAGAGCCGAGCCTGGAGGGAAGAGGTGAGGCCATAGCTGCTCCTATAATCATGCAAGGTAGGCTTCACAAATCCCATTTGCCGGTGAGGATGCTGAGGTCCAGAGAGGGCAAGAACTCTGCCTAAAATCACACAGCACAGAATGACAGAGCTGGGAGGTGAATCAGCTCTTCCCAGCCTGGAAACATACCTAACACATTCGTGTCCCCCAGAATCTGTAAGGTCACAAAGGCCCCAAGTGTGGGACACCTGGACTCCCAGGTCAGGGGCAGCAAGATGAGGAGAGAGGGACCCTCCCCTGTTTTCTAAAAGGCTGCGGAAATTCAGCCTCATAGTGGAGCCCCACATACTCTACATGTGCAGGTACCCACAGGCCTACACATCCCCCAAAGACCGCCCCCCATTGTATTTTATTCCTCTGACCCTTTGTGCATGTTAGTGTCTCCTGCCAGAGGGCCTTTCCCACCTTTGGTCACCTGGTAAACTCCTCTTCAGCCTTCAGAACCCCACTTAGGCAGTTCCATCTGACCAGCTTATTAACAGACTAGATCTCCCTAGGCTGGATTGCAGAGGAGGCTCCCTCAGTCCCCACCCTCCCCTCCCCTCCTCCAGTAAGGGGATCTTATGGCCAATGTGAAATAGTGTTTCACAGTAGTGTTGGGTATGAACACACACACACACACACACAGAGACACACATACACACATACACACACACACAGACACACACACACA